AGACAAATGGCAAATAGCTACTTCTTTGCTTATCCTATGTCCAGACTCTGCTCCTAGTTTGTGTCCACCACACTCCTAAGCCAGGACACCTTTCTAGAAAGGGGTTGTCAACAAAAGCAGTATTTTATTTCATTGTTCTAAGTTTTTATTTAAATTCCAGTTAACATACAGTGTAATATTAGTTTCAGGTGTACAATGTAGTGATTCAACACTTCCCTACAACATCCGGTGATGATCACAAGTGCCCTCCTAATCCCCATTCCCCCACCCACCTCCCCTCTGGTAAGCATCAGTTTGTTTTCTATAGTTAAGAGTCTGTTTCTTGGTCTGCCCCTCTCTTTTCTCCCTTTGCTTGTTTGTTTTGTTTCTGAAATTCTACATATGAGTGAAATCATGGTATTTGATGGTATCTTTGTCTGACGGACTTATTTCGCTTAGCATAATACTCTCTAGCCCCATCTACATCGTCGCAAATGGCAAGATTTCATTCTTTTTAATGGCTGTGATATTCCATTATATATATACATATATATAATGTATGTGTGTATGTGTGTGTGTGTGTGTGTGTGTGTCTTACATCATTCATCAGTCAGTGAACACTTGGGCTGTTTCCGTAATTTGGCTATGGTAGATAACGCTGCCCTAAACATCAGCGTGCATATATCCCTTTGAATCAGTATTTCTGTATCCTTTGGTTAAATAGTAGTGCATTTGCTGGATTGTAGGGTAGTTCTATTTTTAACTTTTTGAGGAAACTCCATACTATTTCTCTGGAGTGGCTGCAACAGTTCGCACTCCCACCAGTGCACGAGGGTTCCCCTTTCACATCCTTGCCAACACCTGTTGTTTCTTGCGTTGATTTTAGCCATTCTGACACGTGGGAGGTGATAGCTCACTGTAGTTTTGATTGTATTTCCTCGGTGATCAGTGATGTTGAGCATCTTTTCGTGTGTCTGTTGGCCATCTGTGGGTCTTCCAAAAGTAGTATTTTTCTAATCCCCAGAGCCTCTACAACACAGCCCACTACTGATGGGCATTTCCCATCTGTTTGCTGGGGTCTGGGCAGCTCCTTTGGTGCATGCACTCAGTGTTTTCCAAATCAGTGGGTTATTTATTTGCATCCGGGAGATAATTACTTTCCAAGATCTCAGGCATTACATACAGCTGGGACTTGGCGAAGAGTTGAAGAGACAGAAAGAGTTTCCCATTAAGTCATATTCCCAGGACCTGGTGTGAGCAGCCTCTGACTCCTGTGCCATGATCTCTCAGAAGCCCTGATTCATGTTCTAAGGATTAAGAAGTTCACAAGCATCAAAGGCTTTCGCTTATGAGGGGTATAAACTAGCCTGTCCAAAATAAGGGGGGCGAAAGGGGGGGGGTGACGGGTCCCTAAGCAAATTCCTTTCTTTGTTCTTAGATTAGAAGCCTTCAGGGTGAGAGGAAGGGCTATTCACTTACCTCACTGCCAGCCCCAGGAATCAGTCTCTCCTCCAAGCCCCTCTCGGGCATGTACGACACACGGTTAGCAAGGCGATTCATTGTTCTTCCATGGTTTCCTGTGTAGGATGTCTGTTAACAAGCCAGTCTATAAATAAGCTCCTGAAGAGCAAGCATCAAAGTATCCCCCAAAGTCCCTGTCACAATGTTTGATAAATAAAGCCTATTGGTTTCAGATTAAATAATTGCGTTAGCTTGGGGAGTCTGGTGATTCTGACTTACACATGATTAGCATATAAACTTCATGAGGACAAGGAGCTTGTTTGAGATGGTTTTGCCGTATTCTTGGCGCCTAGAGCGGTTCCTGGTTCACTGCAGACACTAAGTATTACATAGCGAAGCGGATGGACAGACAGATGGAGGGACAGATAGCGACAAGCCTGTATTTTGCTCCCGTGTGTGCTTATTTATTTTGAGAGAGAGCATGCAGGAGTGAGAAAGGAGCAGAGAGAGAAGGAGAGAGAGAGAATCCCAAGCGAGCTCTGTGCTGTCGGTGCAGACCCCGACTTGGGGCTTGATCTCACAAACCATGAGATCATGACCTGAACATCAGGAGTCAGACACTGAGCCACCCAGGTGCCCCTCGCATTGACATTTTTAATCCTCCCAATTCTATCGTGAGGTAAACAGTTCTACCCCAGGAAATGGGGCTCAGAGAGGGTAAGGGCGCGTCGTAAGTTGTGAGACGGGAGCTCAGAGCCAGATCTGTGTGACTACAAAATCTTTTTTTATTGCTTTTGCTTTTGCGTATATTTTAGTCACTATGGCAGTGACTCAGCATATCTGGAGTCCAACTCGGAAATCCAGCAAGTTTAGCTCCCGCTCAGATGATCGTGACGCAGATGGACCCGAGGCCACGCCGAGAAACACCGTCCTATACAAAACCGCCTCCACAAGACCAGTGTCCCCTTGCCACCTCGATGGGGTGTGGATCTGGGGAGAGAGGGGAGCCCTCCAACAGCGTGGCTTTCAGCAAAGGCCCACCCGAGGAGAGGGGTGTCTCCGGGGGTAATGCAGGACCTCACGACTGAGACAGTGTGAGCGCACCTGGAGACAGGATGTCCTCCCCAAAGGAAAGGTCCTCAGAAACCAAACTGACGGCCAAGCGGCAGGAGTGGGAGTGTCGTCCTGCAGCGGTCCCTTGGAGGAGTCTTTGTGGTACAAGCGATACGTGGCCCAGGCCCACCGGCCTCCGTCTCCAGGCTCTCCTAGACACGCCCCTGCGATTGCGACTCGCCATCAAAAAGGACTTGGGATTTGTCTAACTCTGGCAGCACCCCACTTTACGAGATGCCTCTTTGCCGTCTTTCCTAGCGCCCTGTGATGGGCATGCTGAGGAGCCCAGAGGCCACGATGCCCACTTTCCCTGGAAGGTGCCCCGCTGTGGCCCCAGCCTGAGACTGCGGCTCGTCGTGACACGGCATTACCCGACAGCGCCCGGGAGTAGACGCCATCCGGGGGGTCCTGGCCCCAGATTCCCCAGGCCTCAGGCCGGCCCCACAGTGGCCTGAACACAGCCTCCCCTCTCTCGAGTGCTCTAAAGGGAACCGTGAGCAGTCAGCGCGGTCACACCTCCGCCAGCAGCCAGGGGAAGGCAAGAGGGTCACGCTCAGGGGCGGGGGAGGACGGCAGCACCAGATCTGCCATCAGCAGGCCACACTCATGCTGGAGCCGGCATCGCAGGGCCCAGGACGAAATAATTCCATTCTTCTGAAAATAATTTGATCAACATATATTTGTAGTCGAAACGGTCTTGGGAAAAATTAACAAGTTGCTAGACTTCCTTACATTTATTTTGCGCCTTAGAAATGTTTTATTTTGGGGCGCCTGGGTGGCTCAGTCGGTTGGGCGTCCGACTCCGGCTCAGGTCACGATCTCGCAGTTGGTGGGTTCGAGCCCCGCGTCGGGCCCTGTGCCAACAGCTCGGAGCCCGGAGCCCGCTTCGGATTCTGTGTCTCCTCCTCTGTCTGCCCCTCCCCTGCTCGTGCTCTGTCTCGCTCTGTCTCTCAATAATAAATAAACATTAAAAAATTTAAGAAAAGAAATGTGTTTATTTTTAATGGGAGCAAGGAAGGGCGTTAAGTGGAAGCACCATAATCTTTTTAGTGCCTGGAGTCTTCAAGGGCCCTGATCTAGGCCCGAATGGGGACAGGTAACCCGTGCTGGGTCCCTTCGTATTCCCAGGCCTCTGCTTCAACACAGCCAGGCTGTGGTGGTGGAGCCGCCACAAACAAGGAATATGGAAGAGCACTGCGTCTGAGCAGAAGCTAGCGGGAACAAACCAAACTGCGGAGGTCAGATCCATAAACGACTGGGTTCAGCCCCTACTTCTGTACCACTTTAGAGAGGACCCAGGAAGCTCATTCACTCACATACCGCCCTTTCTCCAGAGAACTTCTATAACCTTTGCAGTCCAGCCACCACTTCCATTCCCTCTGCTAACTGGCATCTGTATCTTCATTTCTCCCCGAGGAAAGGGGCCGCTTGCTGGCTCCGCTCAGGCACCGGTCAGCACCCTCCAGCCACAGGTCTTGGGTATTGCATCAGCGAGGAACCAACGACTCCCGTCAGGCCGACCCCGGCCGATAAGCCCCCACCCCGGGACACCTGTTCCGGCTACTGGGAACCACCCCCTCTCTTCCGTTTCCGATGTGGCCTGGATGTGATGCCAACCCAGAGGACGCCGAGCCAAGAGGCAGCTCTGTGCCTCGACTTCCAGACTTTGAAACGCCGTGAGCAGCAAAATGCTGCGCTTAAGCAAAACGCAAGCCGCTTGGAGTTGAATTGGGGGCATCTGATACCAAAAGAGTACTTCCAGAGGCGACTTGCTCTTGCCACGGCCATGTCTTTAGCTGGACTTGGTCAACTCACGTTCCTATGCCCACCACTCCCAGGGTCCGAAGCAGTGGTTTTCAGACAAGGGGCACAGCTGCCCCGAGGAGGGAGGCATTTCACACATTGGTGGGGGCATTTTGGGGTGACTGGGGGCATTTCCACGATGTTTGGGGAACGCAAGCGGCACGCCTGGGGGGAGCCTGGCACACCGGACTATTGAAGGGCGTGGCTGCGGTGACACTGGTCTTGGTTCGCTTCAGACCTTTACCGAGAGCAGCTCATCATGTTGAAAACTCGCATCGAAAATGGCCACAGCACCGGGGACCCAAGTTGCTACCACGGCACATGTGCGCCAGCCACAGGGCGCTGGCTGCCTGAAGGCCACAAGCATCAGACTGGTGGAACCGTCCCAAGTGCTTACATGCGGAAATAGGTTTGGTTTTTACAAATCGCTTTCCTTTGATTTCTTCTTTTTATTACAGTTAGGGCATTATAATGATTATTTTAAAGCCATGTGGGCAAACCTGGGAATTTCGGGGCACCTGGGTGGCTCAGTCGGTTGAATGTCCGACTTCAGCTCAGGTCACAATCTCACGGTCCGTGAGTTCGAGCCCCGCGTCGGGCTCTGGGCTGATGGCCCAGAGCCTGGAGCCTGCTTCCGATTCTGTGTCTCCCTCTCTCTCTGCTCCTCCCCCGTTCATGCTCTGTCTCTCTCTGTCTCAAAAATAAATAAACGTTAAAAAAAAAATTAAAAAAAAAATTACCTGGGAATTTCATTTTAGGATAGGAAGGAGGACGTTACAAAACTTGAGGCTAACAAGGACGTCTGGGAAGTTGGAGACTCACCACCCAGGGCAGCTAGGCATCCTCAGTGGGGAGCCCCTCTGAGGCCTCCCCGTCTGTTCCTCCCAGCAGCCTGGCCTCCGCTGGCTGCGTCGGCAGGCTCTACCCTAAAAGGACATGTGAAGGCTGAGCAGGCAGAGAAAATGAATGGGCTCTTCTGGCTGGCGCCTGCAGCTCTCACAGCTTCCCGGAGGGAGGGAGTGGGGGCTATGGAGGGCCGGGGGCCAGGCAGCCTCCCAGGACAGGGCGTCACCCGGAGCTTGGGCTCCACTGTGGTTCTGGCCCCAGGAGCCCCCGATTAGAGAATCCAGAGCAAGGCAGACCTCCAAGTGCAAGTAAAGAACATTGCCAGAGGCGCACACACATTTCTATGACACAGATGTTCTAGGAAATGTGAGTCAGGACAGACCAGAATCCTGAGGGCTCTTGGGGCCAAGATGGTGGGGGGGGTGGGGGGTGGGGGGAAGGAAATCTGTCCCCATCTTGGCTCCTTCCCCGGACCTCTGTTCTGGGTTTGGTGCCATGAGTGGACACGGCAAAAGGCCTGCTCAGGAAGTTGTGTGGTCGCAGCTGGCCTGGCCTGAGACCTGGCCTCCCAAAGGCCTGGACAGCATAGACTCGAGGGGCTTTGGGGTCCAGACCAAGGCCTAGACACTGCAGGGCAGTGACACCATACTACACCGCCATTCCAGAGTACCCCTGGATTCAGTGGTGGGTCAGCCAGCACCCCCGCCTTCCCAGAGGGAGGGCCACCCCCCAGACCCCAGCACCCCTTCGGCACTTCCAGGCTTGCTCCAGGGAGAAGGCTGAGAAGGAGCCACCCTTGCACCTCCCTCCCCAGCTGTTCTTGGAACCAAAAAATTTATTTACCAGCCTTTTGGTAGGTTCCTCCGGGAAGGGATCTCGTGGGAAGGCTCAAGGGGGAGATGGAGGCACAGGACAGGGTGATGATTCATCGCAGCTCATTCTGTGCCTCCCTGCCCAGTCCTACTGTGTGTGGAAGCCCAAGTCCAGATCTTGTCAAAGTGAGTCTCCGTTCCAGCAGTCAGCCGGGCCACCCTTCCCTCCACCTCCTGCTAAGCTCCCCCAAAGATGCTGCCCTAAGCCTAGTCCTGTGGCCACCAGAGATATAGGGATCTGTGGGTCTTTGCTGGACCACCTCTAGGTATGCCTTCACCCTGGGTCAAGACAGACAAGACAGGCAGGGTCAGAGCTCCATCCTTCCAGCTCAGGTACAGAGCTGGCCCGGGACAGTGCTCTGGCACCTGCTCGAGGTAGAGTGCAGTGGATGGGCTGCGTGGGCCCGCTCACGTCCAGGCAAGCTGGTCTGTGTGGCCAGACAGGCAGGGCAGCACCAGCTGCCCACTGGCTCTCAGGACAGGGCCTTGAATCTATGTCTCCCCAGGGTCACGTATGGAGAAGGTCAAGGAACATCGTGGGGCCGTGTGGACTGGGGTGGGCAGCAGAGACAGAGCTGGGTCCTTGAGCAGTGACAGCCTCCTGATGCTCCCAGCTCCCAAGATAACCCCTCCCCAGATGCCACCCCCTGGACCTACCCCCTGGATGCTTGTCTCCCTCCTCAGTGCTCCCAAATCAGAGTGCTCAGCGCAGGAAGTGCTTCTCGGTAGACACATCATCCGGGCGGATGTCAGCTGCCTCTCCTCCTCAGGCTGTCTCGGGTTTTCACCCTGTGCCCAACTATAAAGAGAACTCAGCTTCCTTTCAAGCGCCCCACTCATGAATGCCCCCAAGAGAAATGTGTAGATGGCATGAGGGGTTCTGAGGGGCTATATTCGCATGAGTTAGAAGTGACCACAGATCTCCCTGGACAATCAAAGTGATAGCAGCTTAAATAAGGTAGAGGTTTGCTTCCCTCTGTTCATCACGTCTGTAGGCATTTAGAGCAGCCTGGCCTGGTGTGCCTCAGTGTCAGGGACCCAAGCTCCCTCCACCTTGTGGTGCTGTGTACTGAGCAGAATAGAGTCCCCACAGGGTTCACGTCCACCCAGAACCTCAGAATGTAACCTTATTTGCAAATACGATCCTTGCAGGTAACCAGGAGGAAGTCAGACAGGAATAGGGGGAGGCCTTCAACCTAGCGGCGTCCTTATAAGAAGAGAGGAGACACAGACGCAGAGGGAAGGCCACGTGATGAGACGCAGCCAGAGAAGCATCTACAAGCGGAGGATGGCCCACAACCACCAAAGGCTGGGAGAAAGTTTCCAGAAGGAACCGACCCCGCCTGCACCTTGATTTCAGACTTCTGGCTTCTGGAACTGTGAGAGAACACGCTTCCGAGAGAAAGAATATGCTTCCATCACTTTAAGCCGCCCAGTTTGCGATCATTTGTTCTGGTGGCCCCACCAAACCAATAGGGCTACCATGTATGGACTCCTTCCCCAAGGTCACCTTGAGGTCCCACGTGGTACCTGCACTTGAAACAACCCATCTGCGTTTCCAGCGTCAGGAAGGAGAAAGGAGGAAGAAAACAAAGAAGACACAACTTTCCCCTGATGGACGCATCCCGGATGTTGGATGCAGTCTCTGCTTTCATCCCCTTGGCCACAGTTGAATCACCCAGCAGCATGTGGCCGGTTAAAAATGGTTGCTTTTATTACTGTGGAGAAAGGGGAGAAGGGTAATTGGGCCCAATATTGCTCATGCTACTCCCTCCATTAGATGTTTCTGGCCCCCAAATCCCCTGCTGACGGATCTAGCCCCACCGTGGTTTCCCAGAGTAGCACCCCACCGGCTCTACCCCCCCATCCCCCCCAGCTCCAATCCCCTTCTTTGTCAGGGCACTTCAGGTCAGTGCCAGCTCCCCCTCGTCTGGCACAGCCCACAGCCACCTCAGCGCTCAGAGGCAAAGGCCCTGGGGCCAGCACCCGGACTCCTGGGAAGGCGGAACAAGAAGACCCCAGACTCCCGTCTGCTCCTCACCCCACCCTCAGCCCGAAGGACTTAGCCAAGTATTTCTTCCAAACAAGTCCAGGGTGCAGCCTATCAGAATATCTGGAGAAAGAAATTTCCTGCCTCTCCATACAAACGAGACTGTGTCATCTTTCCAGCCTGGCCGTGGTTGGTCAGAAGTCACCACTTCACGGCCCAGCAAGGGAAGCGTCCAGACTCAGAGCATCCCCCCACCCCATCACCAGCCAGTAGGCCACGGGGAAGGAAGCAGCTGCGTCCAAGGGGCGCAGGCTTCCCCAGCCCAGCCGGGTGTTCAAAGGCAATGGATTGCAGGGTCCCTTGGCAGCAGGAGGTCCCCCCCCCACCCCGACCATGGACTTCTTTCACTCTCTGTGTGTTTTTCATGTGGTCCTGTTGACTCCAGAGCCCCTGTTCAGCAGTCCCAGAGAGCTCTGGGACTCTGCTTTAACAGCACCTGTCGGAGCTGGGGCCCACCGTATCCTGCAGCTGGTGGAACTGGAAGGCGGCTGCCAAGTGTCACCAAGCGGGGAGCACAGTCTTGACGTGTTAGCTGCTGGGACGCCGAGGGGCCCAGAGAGCGGCCGTCCAGGCCTCAGGCTGTTGCAGTATTTGACAACGACACCCCTTCTGTTTGCACCAGTGTCCCTGGAGCTTCCCCTGTTGGCTCTGCCCAGGCCCTCAGTTGGGCCATATTTGCCTGAGCCCGAAGGGATGGACATGGTTCCTATCACTTTTCCTGGACAGCTTTTTCGCCCCTAGAGGCTGCAAATACTCAGAGCAAGGGGTGACTTAACTCTATTCAGCAGAAACCTCTGAGCCCAGACAAGATGCTGCTACCAAGCTCGTTACTCCAAATCTGCCGACTTTGGCACCTCCCCCCAGGATCTTGGCAGGCCCTCCTGGGACCTGGTCCAGCCTGGAGTCAGAGAACCAGGCCGCTGCCCTGACTTACAGTAAGAGGGGGGAGGGGGTCCCAGAGCTGGAGGCCGGGGCATGTGTCTGTGCCCCCCACCCCCACCTCTCCTCCTTGATGGGGATTTCCAAGGCCCCAGGGGTGGAGCCACCACTGCCCAGCCTGTGTGAGCCTGTGTGAGCCCAGAGTCGTCCTTGCAAGTCAAGCGATCAGCGTGAACACGCTCAGCAAAGGAGCCCTTACCCGATACACACAGAGATGTTTTAGAAAGCCAAGGGCCGCGCGTAGCCACCCTGGAAGGACTGGAATCAGACACTCAGGGCCCCCAGACTCCAGGGAGAGCCCTGCCCTGGGGCTTAGCTCTGTGCAGGCCACCCATTTGGGGCCTAGCCATAGACAGAACTGACTTCCAGTCACTCCCACGCAGAGCCAAAGGCAGAGCCCAGAGAAGAGCGTCAAGCGCAGAGCTAAAGGCGGGGCTGGAGTCCTCCTTCCAGCTTTGAGCGAGGGGGGCTCCTCCTCTGACTTCCCGCTGACGGGAGCCAGCAAAGATCTTTTGGCTTAAGCTGGGTTTATACATATATATATATATATATATATTTTTTTTTAACTTATTTTTTAAAGTAAGGCCACCCAACATGGGGCTCAAACTCACGACCCCAAGAAGTGTCGCATTGCTCTACCGACTGCGCCAGCCTGGCGCCGCTGGCTTAAGCTGTTTTGAGAGGGGTTCCTCAAGTTGAGGCAGGAGGGAAAGCGAGGCGGTCCCGCCAAAGGGGGAGAGCTTGCAGCCAGCGGGGAGCCCGCATGGGGGCCCGGGGCCGGGGCGGGGAGGGGGCGGCGACGGGAGGGCGGCCCGGGCGACTGATGGGAGGAAAGCAGCGATGCCCGGGCGGCCCGGTCCCCACTCCAGAGCGCGAGCGATTTCTGGGAACCTCTGCGCGCCCGACCACTGCGCTGGTACAGCCGGAGTCCGGGTTCCTGGAAGTGACCGCCCGAGGGTGGGGCGGAGGGGCTGCGCCTGGGGCCTGGCAGGAGCCAGATTTCCGCCCCGCCCAGGCCCAGGTCGGGGTGGGACGGCCGCTGCCCTGCTGCTCTACCCCAGGGCCCCGGCTGACCCCATCCTTCCCTGAGCTGAGCGTCGGCTGGGGGTCTACCCCCCGCAGCCCCGGCTCCCGTACCTCCCCCCCCCCCCCCCCCGCAGCCCGCTCTGTCCGCGGGGCTGGCCTCGCGCGCTCTCCCCGCCGCCCCTGCGCTCCAGCGCCGTCCCAGCCCCTTCGCAGCTCCGCAGTCAGCAGGTGTGGGTGGGGCCAGAGAAGGTGCACGTCCAACAGGTTCCCAGGTGACGCTGCTGAGGCCACTCTGGGGACCGCGCTTCGAAAGCCAGTGGCCAGTCCATACACATTCTCCCCTCACCGCCCGTAGTTTCACTTTTGGCTTCGTATGTCTGTTAGCAGCCAAAGGCTTTTGGTCCCAGGGCCAGACAGAAGTTCTACCTCAGGTTCAGCTGAGCTCATGGATCATTCGCTAATGATGAGGAGAAGGGTAAAAAGGGAGATTTAATGTGACTGTGTGCACTTTCCATCATCAGGAATTATGCCTTTTATGAAGATGAATCAACTATTTTTTCTTGTAGCTCAGTTATCGCCGTCTCACACTCCTTTCTGGTCTGTATGGAGGTCTCACCAGGAGAGCAACAGTCACAAGGGAAAGCACTGGTGTTTAGGCTAAGGCAAGAGGAGGTCAGAGCGAGCTTAGTGGCTCACAAGAACTCCTTCTGCAGCATCCCATTCAAACGCCAGGGACAGCCACAAGACTAAAGACATTCTGTGTGTGCCTTGTCTTGCTGGTTCTCGAGATGTGTCAACAGCCGGGAAACCACCCAGATGCAGTCACTTTAGCATTTACTGCTCTGTGCTCACATCACATGCCGTGCAGTGTGCATTTTTAAGCTTGCTTAGAAGCTGGCGATATTCCTGAGAACCTTAAGCATCTGTATCTATGAACACCAGCTGCTGTGAGTCCCACCAGTCTCTTGCAGATGTACACTTGCTTTGAAAAGATCTTGCTTCCATGGGGCACCTGACTGGCTCAGTTGGTAGAGCATATGACTCTTGATCTCGGGGTTGTGAGTTCAAGACCCGTGTTGGGTATAGAGCCTACTCAAAAAAAAAAAAAAAAAAAAAAGATTTTGCCCAGATTTGCTCTTCTGCAAGTCCATTAAAAAAAATTTTTTTAATGTTTATTTTTGAGAAAGAGAGACAGAGTGTGAGTGGGCAAGGGGTAGAGAGAGAGGGAGACATAGAATCCAAAGCAGGCCCCAGGCTCCAAGCCGTCAGCACAGAGCCCAATGTGGGGTTCGAACCCACGAACCATGACGTCGTGACCTGAGCCAAAGTGGGACGCTTCACCAACTGAGCCACCCAGATGCCCCTCTGGAAGTCCAAATAGCCTGCGTCTTTTTGCCAGCTTCATCAAGTCCACACGACAGTTGGGGACTATGATGTAACTCACACCTCTGGGATAGGGCAAGGAAACCTGGCACTCGAAGCCAAGATGGACTCCAAGACTCCGGCCTCACCCACCGTCAGGACTCCCCTGCTTTCCTGCTCACTGATAACTCCCTTAGGGGATGGGGATGTGTATTCCCACTTGGGTATGCTCTCTCTCCACGAAATCAAGCAACCCTTGTGGACCAAAATCCAGTTCCTCCACCTCTGCATGGACTCTGAGCTAGGAAGACAGATGTATCTGAATCCCCCATACATCATGAGTTTTGGACAGTGACAAAACTCAACTTTCCTGGAAGGACTTTTTTTTTTTTTTTTTTTTGCCCAGGCAGTGGGTTGGCAGTAGTCCATCTTTTGATTTGCGCTCGGTATTTCAGTACGTTCCTCCTCCAACCTGCTGATTAGATCCAGGCCCTGTGCTTTCTCAGAAACATGCTCTTGGTCTGAACTCCCCCTGTTGGAGCTCCGAGATAAACTCAATCCAGCTGATTGCCAGGTTTGTCTGAGTGGGTCAGCCTGAAGGGCTTAATTTAGGTGGCTTCACCCTCTCATCCAATTCATCCTCTTCGGGGGTTTTGACACAGTTCCTCTGTGTGTGGTTTCAGCTATTTGCCCTTCAGTAGAGAGAGAGGCCAGGCACTTGCCTGCAACAGCTGCAAAGATGACTTCATTTTAGAGCTGTGTCACTTTTGGATCTGCTTTCTCCAGCAACGGCAACAAAAGAAAAAGAAAATAAACAAATGGGACTACATCAAGCTAAAAAGCTTTTGCACAGCAAAAGAAAATACTAATAAAACCAAAAAGCAACTTACTGAATGGGAGAAGATACTTACAAACTTGATAAGGGGTGGCTATCCAAGATATGCAAAGGACTCAGACAACGGAATAACAAAAAGGCAAACCCTATTAAAAAATGGGCAGAGGACCTGAAGAGGCATTTTTCCAAAGAAGACATACAAGATGGTCAACAGGCACGGGAAAAGATGCTCCACATCACTAAACATCAGGGAAATGCGAATCAAAACCACAATGAGATACCACCTCACACCTGTCAGAATGGTTATTATCAAAGAGATAAGAAATAACAAGTGTTGGCAAGGAAAAAAGGGAACCCAAGTGCACTGTTGGTGGGAATGTACATTCGTGCAGCCATCATGGAAAACCATATGTTGGAGGTTCCCCCCAAAATTGGAAACAGAACTATCATGTGATTCAGCAATTCTACTTTTGGGTATCTATCTGAAGAAATGAAAACACTAATTCAAAAAGATATATGTACCCGTACGTAATTGCCAAGATATGGGAGCAACCTAAGTGTTCACAGACAAATGAATGGATAAGATGTGGTATATACATACATTCAATGGAATATTACTCAGCCATAAAAAGGAATGAAATCTTGACATTTGCGACAACATGGATGGACCTGGAGGGTATTATGCAAAATAAAATAAGTCAGACAAAGGAAGACAAATGCCACATGATTTCACTTATATGTGAAATCTAAAAAGCAAAAACAAATGAAGAAACAGAACAAAACAGAAACAAACTCAGAGACACAGAGAACAAACTGGTGGTTTCCAGAGGGGAGGGAAGTGGGGGGATGGGCCAAATAAATGAAGGGAATTAAGAGGTGCAAACTTCCAGTTATAAAATAAATAACAGGGATGCAATGTACATCATAGAGAATATAATCAATAATATTGTAATAATTTGGGGGCTCTTGGCTGGTTCAGTTGGTAGAGCATGCAACTGTTTATCTCAGCGTCGTGAGTTCAAGCCCCATGTTGGATATAGAGAGTACTTAAAAAAATTTTTTTTAATATTGTGATAACTTTGTATAATGACAGATGGTAACTAGACCTATTGTGATGAGCATTTTGTAATGTATAAAAATATCGAATCACTCTCTTGTACACTGAAACTAATATAATATTGTATGCCAATTATAATTCAATAAAAAATTAAAATGTTTGAAACTGGAAAAAAACTGTGTAGCATGGCACAGAGATGCATGGCCTCCGTCCCCCAAGGTGTTCAAGGGCTAAGGTCCACAGAAGGGCTGCAGATGGCTCAGATTTGTCCCTTGAATGCAGAACTCAGCCAGTCCCTTTTATTTTCAGGGAAAGCTTGGTTAGCTCCCCTGAAGTATTGTGCATATTCCAAGAATTGAATTTGGGGTTGAGTTTTTCCCAGCAGCAACATTTTGATAATCCTAGAATTGGAGTGATGGGTTTATACAGATTCGTTTCATTTCATTTCATTTCATTTCATTTCATTTCATTTCATTTCATTTCATTT